ACATACCTCAATGTCATACCCTAACACACTCGGATTGGCGGGTAGGATATGCTCGCGTATGATTTTCTCGGCATGCTCGGCCGAGTAAGACCGTACCACACTCACTGTATGCGTTGTGCTCGGGAACGCAGAAGCATCCCGATTTCTATTCTGTAGCGCCACCCTAGCTGTTGCCTCGGATACTGTGCCAGTCGTGCCAGCGGTGGGTTTTGGTGCAGAATTGGGTGAAGATCTAGAGCCTGATGTGTTGTTGGTTGTAGATTGGGGTCCTGAACCGGGTGTAGTAGATGGGCCATGTTTTGTATCTAGTTCTGGTTGTGCAGGGTATAACACGAGTGACTCATCACAACTGCCAGTTGGCCAGATTTTGGCTGTTAACCGTGAGAATATCGAGGATCCACTATTCGTAGCAGCGGTGTCAGGTTCAGGTTTGGCCTCCGTCTTAGGTTGTGATTGACCCTTGCTTTGTGCTTGTACGTGTCTATGCAAAGTCCGTATGTGTGCTCCGCCATATAATGTCTGGGTCGGCCCCGTGTGAACACCTCGGTCTAATGTCTGTCTAAGATAGACAGCTGCTGTATGCATGTGACGCCTAGATTGGGAGATGTGTATGTGTCTGGTTTTTATATGTGCTAGTGAACTTTTGGTACCGTGTTGTAGCGACAACAATCCCAAGGTACTATCTGCTATAGCGCCACCCTGTGCATAAAACTTATCGTGCTCGGACCATTCACGATCTTTTGATACGCCAACGTTCTCGTTAACGCCCTTGCTTACGCTCACACCTCTACTTTCCAATACATTCGGGCTTGAGTCTATTTCTTGACGCTCATAAGCCAACCCATCACCGTGTAAACTGTTCATGTCTTTGTACGTATATGCTCCATACGGTGTTGCTGTATCGATATCCACATCCTTTTCTCTGCATAGAACACCACCCTGTGTCAATATTATTGGCTGGCCGTTTGCGTCCAGGTTCCTTCCGGCATGTGAAGCATCAGCAAAACTAGCACGCAACATAGCACTTACTTTTGGCTCTTCACTACCAAAGGTCCAATTCCCCTGGTCTGTACAAGTATCGAGTATATGCTTAGATTCGTGTGGTGTATTCTCTTGGTCTACGTCCATGGTGGTACTAGTTGCATCCTGACCGTGATCTGTACTATTGACAAGTATATGTCTAAAATGGTGCTGTATATCATGTTGATTTAGTTTGTCCACATCCGTAATTGTATAAAGTGATCTGTTGATGCTGCGTTTGTACTTCTGCGAGTATACAATACCACGGCTATTTCTAATGTTTGACGCTACAGCAATCCTGGCACAGCATCGCTGCTGATAGTTTGCCACTCGGATGTACGACCCTCTACAGATTGGGTTCATAATTATTTTCTTGACCCGCTCCTTATATCGACGTGTTACTACTATGGACGTTATTCGATGAGTGTGTCCCCCTTTTCCATATATTTTTCTAAAATTATTATTAAAAAATACTTCCGACACGAGAATTTATTTATTTTTTAGAGCCGCGCTTTTTCTCAAACGCGGACGCCCATCATACTGCCCCTCTATAAGTGTTTTACTACAAAATAATTTCCACAGCCACAATTCCGTTGTACAAAATTATCCAAGGCTGTGACCTGTGAGTGTGGTCGCCTCAGACATCCACAAGATTTTGGTGCAAAACTCTTCAGTTGGCATCCGATCACCACCACGCTCGTGTACACACTTGAATTGTATGATAGCACTTTGACCTACACCATTTTGGCTGTTAGTATACACAAAAACGTTTGCTTCCCGTAAAAAATCCGCCTCAGCCACTATGAACGCTGCAATCATCTACAGGTAAAGCTAACCATGTAGTGTACAAAACCACCTTGTGATTCCTGCTGTAATAAATATCATGATATGGCTCATAATGATAACATTGCTTCGGAAACGCTTGGTCTGAAGCGGTAATCTTCAGAATTTACTCGTGCCGTACATCTTCAGACTTCTAAAAAATATAAAATAAAAAGTAATCTCGGCAGGCTGTCGCCCGCTAGATTGAGGATTTTCTCGGCCAGAATCGAACTGACGACCCTCACGGTGTAAACATGATGTGATAACCCCTACACCACGAGAAGACATAGACAGTAAAAATCTATTCATTATATATTCTTATTTTTTCTTATAGTCTTTATTTTTTTTCTTTTGTTCTATCTATGTATGTTGGGGTATGGAATATGCTATAAAAAATGCGTGATTACTTGTGTTCAAAGCTATTAGTAGCCTGCTATATATTTAGTAATTTTTCGGATTGCGAAATTGAATGTATATATAATTGTAGCTATACGTTTATATGAAACTTGAGTGTTCTGTTTCGTGTATCGGCGAGTACATATCATTACATTCGACGATGATTACTACTGCTGTTCAATAATAAAAGTTTCACTTCTCAAGTTGGAACACATTATATGACAGTTTGTTACATCTCTGTAAATTGATTTTGTACGATTACATTAGCCGTATACTACGATTACTCTTCTCGATACGTGGTGTGTGCTTCTCGTCATTAGTGTGTGCGTAAGGATTTTGGTCAGATGTAAGCAATTTAAATCGTCAATATCTTGCCTGATAACTTTGTGTGTCGAATACGCAGCCGATACGACCTCGCGTATAGCTTGAATATGAAGCAATACTTAATGGGGGTCGTGATTCATCCGCTCAGATAGAAGGTAGTGGCACTCAGATGATTTGTATATAAAACAGTCGCTCGCCACTTGGGAGTCACAGGGTTTTCGTGGGGGTTACGGGGTTTTGATGTATGTTAAATATATGTTTTGAGAACAGGATTTTGTGATATTTACATCAAGAGTCTATAGTCTCCTATTGGCCACCTAAATACATAAGCATATATCTGTTCTAATCGGTTTAATTTTGTCCCAGCTCCATCAAGGCATATGTCGTTTATATCTAGTCATGCAATGACAGCTACTATTAATTTCTGGCTTGACAGGAGTCATCACATGTTTCCTATTTACTCACATTATTTCAATGTAAATATTCTGATACTAAAGTCATATACTGTGAACTTACTTGTGTTGACCGATATACCCGCACATCCTGGTTCAAGTTCGATTCCCCTTTGAGTGCACGAGCAATTTCTACCATCCAATTTCACATCGAACTGAAGTTTTCGCTCACGTATTTACGTTCATTTAATCACGAATCTTCTTTATTATATAATGTTGTATGTGCCATCAAATGGTACATAGATATTGTCACAATTTAGAAATGCCTTATGGTAGGACCTAATACATGTTGTATCTTATATCAGGTCCTTACCAACGCCTCGGTTCGTGGCAAACAGTATACAGTGTGTATCAGATATCATGTTGTGTTGCGAGTAAGTTTTCTATGCATCCGATTATATATCCGTTCCTAGTCATGTGTTGTCACACGTAACTATAGTATAAAAAACCTAATGTGGAACTCTTTCGAGTCCAAGAGTTCTCAATCGTGTTCATTTCCAAATAAGCAACAAACTAACTTGTTCTTCAATGTAGTCAAGTCAAATTCTTCCCATAAGCCCTCGTTAGATTTCGATCGTTGTTTCCATTCTTCACTAGTATATAAGTTTACTATTATATTGAACATGTGCTCGTCGGTATATGTTTATACGGCCTAGAGATTTTATGGTATCTACCGTTGTAATCTCACTAGAATCAAAGTTAACTTTGTAATTGAGATTATAATCTTGACTGTATTAGTAGGCAGTGCATATTAGAACAAATGTGCCACATATAGAGTGAAGTTTATTTATCCCTTTACTGCCGATTGTATATCCGTTCATAGTCAAGTGTTGTCGCACATAAGTATAGTATAAAAACCGTGGTGTCGCTAGCGTGGGACTCTCTCGAATACAAGAGTTCTCGATCGCGGTTATTTTCAAATAGGCAACCAATTATTTTGTTCTTCGATTAAATTCTTCCCAAGAGCCCCCGTTATACCTCAATCGGTGTGTCTATTCTTCATTAGGAAATAAGTTTGCTATGGTATTGAACATATGCTCATCGGTAGATGTCTTCTTATTCGACCTAGATGTTTTTGGGTCTCTACCGTGATAATCTCACTAGAATAATAGTTCACTTCGATTGTAGTTGAGCTTATAGTCTTAATTATATTTTTAGTAGGCAGTGCTATAAGAACAATTGTACCATGTATAGAGTGAAGTTTATTTATCCCTTCATTGAGTATCGTAAATCCGCTCCTAGTCATATGTTGTCACACGTAAGTAGTCGCGCTTGTTACACTGGATGGCCTTTATTAAAGTGGCGTGACGGACTGCTTCAAACCACATATTGTGAGGTTGGCCGGAGTGTTGAAAGAGGGAGCACAAAATATATTTGATGCTTCGATATGTTCGTTCCGCAAAGCTGTGTAGTGTAGGTGAATTGGTAGGCACGTAAGTTACTTTGATGTGTTGAACTGTGTTGATCGCGTTAAAAACAGAATATGTGAATTCTCATCCGCGATCGCATTTGAGTTCGTGGAGGTTCGCAGGTTTATCCTTGCCAATATCAGTGCAGAATCGGTCGAGCGTATCAGCAACGCCATCCTTCATTTCTTTAAAGGGTATACGAAGGGCATACCAAAATTGGCATCCATATATCTAATATTGAGAGTACAACCATTGACCGAAGATGGCAGGTAAGTTTCAAAGTCAACATGAAAAACGGTACCAACGGGTGGGCGTGTGTCGGGATCTTTCAAGGTATTTGATATGGGACGACGGCGCATTTTTCTGGGGATGTGCTAATATATCTGTGTGTGCGGTGATGAGCTTGGCTGTAGGTGGTACAGAACGGGCAATATTGCCGAGTCTAGCAACACAGACATAACGCCATATTGGTAAATCAACCACGCCGATTCCGGATAAATGTCTCGAGTTGTTGTAACGCCTGTTTGTAACATCTGTTGTTGGGGACAACGGGAACACGACAGTGACGAAGTCATTGTCGTTGTCGAGTTTGGCGAGTATAGCACTCCATGCTTTCTTCGTGTAGAGTATATTGCCGAAAAGGTGGACTTGGGGTTGCCTCCAGTTTTGCGCAAAAGCGTCGAAGAGAGGCGTTGGCTTCGAGACTGAAATACATAGGAACTTGTGCATTATTCGCGCTCGCAAATAAATCGATGTCATCGGTTCCAAAGGGATCAACGACATGTGTCTGAAACAAGTCGGTATGTAACTTCCGGTTGTCAGTAGAGTTGTCGTGTTTGAAGTGTCGATGTTGTTTTGCTGAAATGTAGCGCGAGGTATACGTGGATGAGTGTTACCCATGGTGTCTTGCCAGTCTAAAAGCGAAGGGGACTCAAATGTAGAAAGTTTATGAAGGCCGTGGGTGGCAGGTACACGTTGTAGAGTGCCGTGGACATATGTGCTGATACATCCTGTGGGCATCGGGTTATTCTGCGATGCATGGAAATGGAATGTGATGTTAAAGCCATGATCCTGCAAGCGGCGAACAGATAGATTATTTGCTCTGCCTGAGGCATGATGAGCTCTGCGCCGATGCCTGTGAGCTGTCCGCAATACGGACGGGTGATGTGGGATTTTTCCGGAAACTCAACGATAAAACGGCCGTGTTCGATATCGATAACTTTGGTTGTAGTATTACGAATATGAATCATTGCACCAAAGTCATTATTAAAGGGAGCTTGCTGTTATATTGGGATCAGTGGGTCCGGTGTGATATAATGTACTCTGTATAGTATATCGGACTTTAGGAAATACTGATTCGACTTTATTGTGAATATATGTAGATTTGTCTGAGTCGGTTTCAAAGGGGACCCCGTTGGTTCACTAGCGGAGCGCACAGATGCATTATGACCACTGTGGCTGTATTTAGAGTAGAAAAGAGTTGTGCAGTCGTCAGGACATTGTTACCTTTGTGTTCTGGAGAGGCACATTTGCGACAAATTGAATCGGGGCAGCCGAAAATGCCGTTATCAGGTTGGTCACAAATAGGACAATTACGATGTTTGAGGGTTGTGTCGTGACGGAAGATAGTATCCTGACTAGCCGTGGAAGTATTCAATCTGGAGGCTGTTGCTGCTGTATCAAGTTGATTGTCACCAGCAAAATTGGATGACTTTCATGTAGACGGTATCGATGGTAACCTCGTCGATGCTGCGAGCGAAGATGTCAAAGGTAGAAGCTTGTAACTATCGTCAAAGCTGTAGAGAAGAGCACATATAAGGTATTTATCTGTGATTAGCTCACCCATGTCGAGAAGATCCTGTCTGATTTATCCGAGTGCCTGTAGAGTCGTATCAAGGGAGCCAGTGGCGGTGAATCGATGGTATACTCGTCGATGTCGCAAGCGAATATGTCAGAGCGAATAAACTTTTAATTATCGTAAAGGCTGTAGAGAAGAGCACATATAAGGTATTTGTCTAGGATTAGTTCCCCCACATCGAGAAGATGCTGTCCAATTACTTCGAGTATATATAGAGTCGTATCAGGGGAGCCAGTGGAGCTCGTCAGGTGTTCCATCGTGGACCAGAAGCGGTCATTGCTGGTAGTATTCGTGGTGACACAAATATGCTGGAAGGATACGTATGGAGGCTTGGAAATAATATTTTTGTAAACGAGTTGGTTAACGTCTCTCAATTGATCGAGTCGACCAGAACCCGATGACACTTGGGATCAGCGACAATGTCATGCCCGCCTCCAAACGTTGAATTATTGCATTGAGGATGTAGTCGCCGAAGCGTGCATAGTGTTCGAATTCTTAGAGGGCTACCCGTTTGTACATATCATCGTACTCAGGACAGTCACTGACAGAAAGGCCTGGATTCTCAGGTGTGAAATTATTAGTTTTCAGGTCATGCAGAAGGTCGATATGTTCCGGTGCGTCTCGAAGGTTGTTTGCCGATTCTGCTAACCAGTGAGTTTTGTCCGTTTGTATATATAATTGTATTTAGGACAGTCACGGACAGAAAGAGCTGGTTTATCAGGTGTGAGATCATATTTCTCAGCGATAGTTTTCGAGTGTGTCTTATGTCATGCAGAAGGTTGATATGTTCTGGTGCGTCTTGAAGTTTGTTTGCCGAAATTTTGCCAACCAGTGAGTTTTATCTGTTTGTACATACCCTTGTAGTTAGGACAGTTACTGACAGAAAGGCTTGGCTTCTCAGGTGCGAGATCATAGTTCTCAGTCATAGTTTTCGGAGTGCGTCGTATGCCATACAGAAGGTCGATATGTTCCAATCCGTCTCGGAGTTTGTTGCGAAAGTCCTCGAGTTTAGCGTGAAGGTCGGCGTCGTACCGTAGAGGCTGGCTTTTTGTATTTCTGAAGTCACTCTCATGTAAAGCTGAGACGGACGCTAGTAACATCAAGTTCGCTTTCTAGCTGTGACTTCTGGTCGCGCCGTTGATTAAGTTCGAATTAGAAGTTGGCTTTGTGTTTAGTTGCGTCATCTAGAGACTGCTCAGCTCGCGAGTTTGCATTGGCAATGTTGTTACTTGAAACAACGATATGGGCGAGTACTTGTGCTGTTTGAATTGGGTGTTCGCGAGCATTATACTCAAGTTTGCGTACAAGAGCGTGGATCTTGTGTAAATGTGGTGCCAAATGTAAGAGCTTCCTCGTAGGACTCGAAGACCGTGGGAAGAGTAAACACTTCATATAAAGTCATGGTGTGCAATGTATAGCAACCCTGTAAAATTGAGAACTTTGAGTGTTTGTCGAGTGCGGTAATATGTGCTTTCAGTTTGTATATATAAGTTTGATAGACACTATTGTTGTCTGGTGATCTAAGAGACCCATATATATTAGAGTGAATAAGGTTATTTCCCCCCCTACTGAGGGTTATATAGCTATATATCCGTTCCTAGTCATGTGCTGTCACACGTAAGTATAGTAGAAACTTGACTAACGGCTGGACTGTGATTCGTTCATATATCTGACACTATGACAGCTGTCAGTTCACGTTTGTGTACCATTATTGGTACCGAACTGTGAGTGTATTTGAAATAATAAGTACAATGTTAATTTCATCTTAACAGTACATGCTAGTATATTGGATCAGCTTGACCCCTGTACAAGAATATCTATAGTGTAGATATTTGCTTACGCTTGCCATCAAGCAGGAACTTAATGATATCTTAAGCTCCTGGCGGCAGCTCTGTTGATGATATCAAATACACCTTATTTATTCGTTTCCCCACGCAACTCACAACCTCGTGTGCGAGCATTGGAATTAATAAAGGGTTGGGTTATGGGTAAACCACCTTGTTGTTAAGTTTTGATATAGAGGCTCGCAAAGGGTAATTCACATCAAGTCCATTGGTATGAAGAGGTTGGATTTTACATACCTTAAATGGTTGTAGCATCTTTTCGCTTGAAATAATATTGTAGAATGGAGTGGAGCAGCGTTCGCAGATTGAGACTGAGTATATGTAGTAGATGTCGATAGGGTAGAAGTTAAGCCCACTCGAATATAGCGCTCCTAGACTTCGCAACGCTTCTGTAGTACCCCGAAAACCCCTCACCCTTGATATTCGGATCCTTCTTGGCAGGTTCAGCAAGAATAGCAATCAATTGCTCGTTGATAGTCGTTAAATACTCTCGCTCAGATAAATTGTGTACGATAGCAGCGACAACAATTATACAATTGCAGTCAGCAATGAAAAGCACAGATAGAGTATATCAAATGCATTTCACTGTTTTATTCTTTAAGGATCGTTGTCAATTTCTTCTTCTTCCGTATTTTAAGTGCTTTTTTATAGAGGAAGCTGAACCATAATCGGATGCATATGCATACTACCCTGTTTTCCTGGTCTACACTGTGCCCTTGTCGACATCCGCATACCACGACAGGGTTGATATTATAATCAACACTCAGTATAAGGAATGCTTTGACGTTCGATGTGTTGAACCGTTTTTGTTGAATACACAAATATAGCTGTTTTTAATGGGGATGATTTTTTTATTTACCGCTTATGGTGCATACAGAAATAAAGCTTTTTTAATTGTGGGTGATTTTTTTATCGTTTTTGTGCATACACAAATGTAGCTGTTTTAATTGTTGTTGAACTTTTTTGGGGGGGGATGTTACCAGGTAATGCAGCATAAATGGTGCACAGGTTGCTTTATATACTCTATGGGGTCAATTAAAGAGTCTTTGTTGCTCGACCAATGTCGAATCTTATTGTTTTTAACGTTTCCAGCTAGAATTCCCATCCATCACAAGTTCAATTTTTCATTGTGACGACAAAAAAGTTCCCAGCGAGGGGCTCGAACCCTCGACCTTGAGATTAAGAGTCTCACGCTCTACCGACTGAGCTAGCCGGGAATACGGCGAGGTTAATAATTTATCATTTAATTAGTCAAGTAACAATTTGCATCGTAGTTTGAATGTCACTGTCGTGGAACCTTATTATATTCGTTTTATAAAGCCACGCAATATGTAAGTAGTGGCGTAGGTGTGATTGATTTGGTACAACAGTTGACATCAACTTTTTAATTTTTGTGTTTAGTAATAATGTCAAGACTGTGATTTCTTTAAGTGAGTCCGGGATGTTAGCGTGCGGTGTGGGACCAATAGTAAAGTGCCAGTGTATTTAAAGTATGGTGCTTTGGAATGAATTTATGATCTCACCCTTAGTTATATACTGATGGTGTTTGAGCTAGTGTTTAACCACTTGGGTTGGCCAGGGAAAAAACTCATTCGATCAGTATGCGAAACCTTATGCAGAACACTTCAGCACTCAGATATATTTTCCAGAAATAAATATATCATATTCTCTGTTACTACACTCAGTCTCGGACCTCGGCTCTCGGCTAGCCGGCCGTATCTTATAAATAGATTAATCTGAGAAGAAGTCTCAAATTACTCTTACGTTCTCTCGGGCTGACCCACCTATACTTATATTAATTTGAGAACAAGTCCCAAATTACTCTCGGGCTGACGACGTAAACGTTATCAACGTATATAGAAATACGTCGACTACTGTAGTCTCTCACGGGAAGAAGGCGAAATTCCGTTCATAGTATTTTTAATCTCTCACAATGTCACATGCTTATATAATCATTCATGGTCTGGCCATCTTGTAAGACTCTTCGAAACGAATATCAGAACATACAAACTTAATCAAATTATCATAGCACGGACAGTCGTTGGGCTTTTGGAATACCGCGAAGTTCAGAAAGTATCACTGTAATGCGTTGACATTACGGAAAACGGAAGTGGTTTGATGGGTTGACATTGGTCTACTTAGAACGGTGTTAGGGTGGGCTGTGCAAATACAATCTCCTAAGCAATCAGTCAGATTCGAATACACATACAGGGCACTGTTACTAGGTATGACCAATGGATGTTTGATATGACCAACGACAGCCTGGCAGCAAACGTAGTTATTGATACATGGTGAGAACTATTAACTAACTGTGAAATCACGATTGAACACAATGAACGGGGGTCGCATATTTTGATATATTTATGAAAACTCAGCCGATTTCTCAGCATACTCGTTTGTTCGCCTCTCGATTTGACTATCATTACATCGCAATTTTGATGCATAAAAAGTGCATGCAGACCGTTTGAGAAAAAAAAACACGGAATGGAGAGTCGTCATATGATAACGAGTCACATCGGCCAATGTCGTAGATTACGGCGGGCAATTATCTTTGGTCACCAGCGATTCCCATACTTAGCTTTTACTCCGTATGGTATTGCATTCAATAATAGGGGCGCAAATTATGCGAAGACTATTATAAACTTTAATTTATTTTACAAAGGCTACATAGCGAGTAGTATAATTTATTGTTGTAAACCGATTCTACATAGATTTGATAATGGAAACTGCTGCGTTTTCGTTGTTTGTTCATCTATTCTTTGAACAAACTGCTATTATATCATAATGATAGTCTGTTGTGAATGAACTACAATGAACATATACACTGCGACTAGCAACGAACAGCAAAGCTCTCTAATTCGTACCGCGCAACATTTCTTCGGATTGCAAGAGTTTCGCGATCTAATTTTATTGATGGTTAATCTCGAACACTCTTTCCAAGATAGGGATAATAATATTTATTTCAAAAATGGCAAGTATGTATGATACAATGTATGAACATATTGTATGGCTCTCATAGTCGCTGTAGTGGTTCAGGAAAGATTGATGGGAAGAAGTGGTCAGTAAATTTCCGTTTGAAGCTTGGGCCAAGTGAGTCGACAATGGAAGATATGTGCTGAGTCAATTCGGGCCGGTGTTGACAAAACACTGTTACTATCGAATGTCCCATATATTCGCTTGCTGACCTACTAAGTAGAGTATCCACCTCTGTGGTACGGACCGGGTCTGCGCCGTGTAGTGTCGCGGAATGGGTTAGTGCAGAGTACGAAATACCGAGAAGGACCAGGTTATCCGTCATAATCCGGTCGAGAAGCGAGGATGGGGGTAAGCCAATGCCGCACCAGACCACGGATGAATTCGGTATGTGTTGACTGGCCTGGATCGGAAGTATCATAGTCGGAACCAACAAGCGCGATGATTTGGTTTGAACCGATATTTGGAAGTAGTACTTCAACAGCGTGATTAGCCGGGGTATAGGGAACATCTATTGATGTGTCAGGGACGGGTGAGGGTACGGTGGTTCTTCAACATACTGGAGAAAAGATCCAAGGTGTTCGTGGAGGGTCCAGATACCGTGGAAGTCGTGGCACTCCTGTAATTGCTGAAGGAGGTCAGGGCCAATGGGCGGCAGTTTCGGGCCTACCAGGATGGGTCGAATCAGTTGTTGGATGCAGGTAAAGTGGTTGATAGTGAACTTGTGGCTACCGGGGCAGACAGGGCAGAGACAGCCGTCGGTGCGGTAGTCGAGCAATGTGAACATGTACGTATTCGTTACAATCATAGCACACAGCCGGATTGGTGTAGACTCGAAGCAGCGATTGAAGCTGTCGTGTCTGGCTGTGTCTCGGTTTGAGGTTGACGGTTTACCCATAACCAGTTGGTAGTAGTATTGGCGCCGGGCCATTGCCGCGATCTCCTTGTTGGACCAACGTTTTGTTGAGTTCTTCCTGATGTCGTCACAGCGTTGGCGGAGGGCTACATGGTCGGGTGTACGCCCGCCCGTGGTTTTGTGTACAGTTTTCAGGTGAGCATAGATACTGTACGGGAAGCGCAGTGATGGTCCAAGATAGTGCCACCATAAAATTGAAAGCCTATTGTTAATTAAACTGGTGGGTTCTCCCATTCGCAGCACACCTATCTCAGTTTTAAATTGTTAAAAGTCTACTTTAAAAGTTAGTTTGACAGTTAGATATACACCAATAAGGCTTTCTATTAAATAATTTAACCCAAAGGTCAGCCGGTAAAGATTAGATCAT